CTCGGCCTCCCAAAGTGCTGGGATTATAGGTGTGAGCCACTGCCCCCGGCCAGATGTTTTTTGAAAAAGATGTATTTCACCATCTTATACCTGCCATCTTCTCTGAGAATAAACTCGGGGCAGTGCGGGCATGCGCTCTCCACCAATCTGGGTGGCAGGAAGGGGAAGCGAATGTTTTTTGACAGTTAACGTACTACATGTTGTGCTAAATGCTTTCACATGCTTTTCTACAAAATCTGCTCAACCCTTCAAAGTCAGGGTGTTCTCTTTTTTCAGGTGGGGGAGTGGAAGTTAAGGGAGGTGAAATCACTAGCCCAAAGGTACAAGGTAACTCAGAAGCTGAGGGCTAAATCTAGCTCTGCCAGGCTTCAAGACTTGCTTTTCTGGCCATACCAGATGACTGTTGTAGGGACTGAGGGCTTATACTCCCACTAAGCCAGTAGGCACAGTGCTGAGGGCCCATGCCACCTTCCGGGACCCACAAAAATGTTTCCATTTTAACATCTTTTAAATAAGTAGAAAAAAAGAGAAGATAATAGTAATGAATAGACATTAATAAATCCAGCTGCACCTTTATACCAACACAGCCATAAAATACAACTTTTAGGCTGGGCACGGTGGCTCATGCCTGTAATCCCAGCACTTTGGGAGGCCGAGGCAGGCAGATTGCCTCAGGTCAGGAGTTTGAGACTAGCCTGGCTAACATGGTAAAACCCCATTTCTACTTAAAATACACACACACACACACACACACTAGCTGGGCATGGTGGCATACGCCTGTAGTCCCAGCTACTCTGGGAGGCTGAGGCAGGAGAATCTCTTGAACCCGGGAGGCAGAGGTTGCAGTGAGCCGAGCTTATGCCACTGCACTCCAGCCTGGGCGAAAGAGCAAGACTCCATCTCAAAAAAAAAAAAAAAAATTATTTTATTTTTTAATGGAGAAAAAGACCCATCAAGCGACTGTGCCTAAAAAGTACCTTTCATAATGACCCACGTAAGTTCTAAGGTGCCTCCTGCACAGAGCCACTGCTTTTAATGCTGACTTTCTCTCTCTGGGTCCAGGCCATCTGCTGTAAGGAAATGCCCAGAAGATATAAGTCTATTTGCTCCAAAAGCTGCAACTCCATCCTGTCTTTTTCCTGCTTAGTTGAAATGCAGATCCGATACTAACGCCACATTAAAAGGATCATCTGAAATCTTATCGAAGTAAATGAACCAAACATAAGACATTTAAGTTTCAGGACACAGGCACACAGAAATGTTGACATTCACTTCGTTATGACTCAAAAAAAAAAGAAAAAAATTCACACAGGCATCCAGGCTGAATGCAGTTGTTATGCCTGGGGCATGTACCATCTAAGGAAAAAACGATTTTGAGGATTTAAGGAAGACAAGAGCTCATTCCAGCAATGGCTTCATCTCCCCGCTCCTGAGGCTGAAGCTCATCTTATGCAGGCTGCATCAGGTAGAGGGTCCACCTACCTGAAAGGCGACTCTTGAGCTTGATTTTATTGCTGCCCTGTTTGGGACTGTCCAAGTTCCCCTTGGATTCCTCAGCACCGCACACATCTTGGGGCTCATCTGTCCCAGGCATCTGAAATGCAGAAAGCACAAAGCAGATGGGAGAGGCCAGCCCTGTGAGGACTTATGCTGTCCCCCTCCACAACATTATCTCAAGGTTCAAGGAGCGGCAATACAGGTGTTATGTGAGAAGAAGCATCACGGGATCAAAGCACAGCCCTTCTGATATGCTGCATTCAGAATGCCTTGCCTTGGCCAATTCCTCCTCAGCACTGTCTCACCGCCCAGCATGGAACCAGGGCCCCCAGGGCCACTTCGTCTTCCACTCTACATTTGAGGACATGTGTTGGTCAGAGTTACCCAGGTGGCCTCCCAGTGGTCAACTACAAAGCTACAGCATGAGCCCAGGTCTCTTGACCTGTGTGTGGGCCAGTGCTCTTCCCACAATGCAAGCTACAATAAATATTAAACCAGAAATTCAAACCCAATTCTAAGGTTTCCAAAATAAAATAAACTGAATGTTCTGTGTGCTACACTCCTGGGTATTGATCAGACGCCTCCTAGAATCAAGCATAGCCCAGGCTCCCTGGAGGCATTAACATGAGGTCAGCCCACATATCTGGAAGTTGTGTGACCCCAGGAGGTGATACAAGAAGTCTGATCCCAAGGCTCACTGGGTCCTCTATCCTACAGAAACCAAACATGCTGTAGACAAAACAAAACTCCTATTTATTAGAGAAGAAAAAGAGACTCATGCACTTAGGAGTATTTATAAAAAAAACTGGGGGGTAGCCAGGCACAAGGGCTCATGCCTATAAATCCCAGCACTTTGGGAGGCTGAAGCAGGTGGATCATGAGGTCAGGAGATCGAGATCATCCTGGTTAACATGATGAAATCCTGTCTCTACTAAAAATACAATAATTAGCTGGGCATGGTGGCTCACGCCTGTAGTCCCAGCTACTCGGGAGACTGCGGCAGGAGAATCACTTGAACCCAGGAGGTGGAGGTTGCAGTGAGCCGAGACTGTGCCACTGCACTCCAACCTGGGTGACAGAAAGAAATTTCCATCTCAAAAAAAAAAACAAAAAGAAGGAAAAATTGGAGGGTAAATTTTCATGTACAAGACTTTTGAGATACATCAACAATAAACCTTCCCATTTGAAATTTTATTTTCCTTTGAGGTTACAGAGGAAAAAATGTCTTAAATTAAAATAGGTAATATTCTCACTGAGGAAGATACACATGCTTAAAAAGACATATAAGAGGGCCTGGGTGTGGTGGCTTACGCCTGTAATCCCAGCACTTTGGGAGGCCCAGGCAGGTGGATCATGAGGTCAGGAGATCAAGACCATCCTGGCCAACATGGTGAAACCCTGTCTCTACTAAATACAAAAAAAAGAAAAAAGAATCAGCCAGGTGTGGTGGTACATGCCTGTAGTCCCAGCTACTAGGGAGGCTGAGGCAAAGGAATCACTTGAACCCAGGAGGTGGAGACTGTAGTGAGCTGAGATCGAGCCGCTGCACTCCAGCCTGGTGACAGAGCAATACTCCAACTCAAAAAAAAAAAAAAAAAAAAAAAAAAAAAAAAAAAAAAAAAAGACATTTAAGATATCAAGTAAAGAAAAGTTGATGATAAAAAGATTTTTGGCTTCTCTTAAAGATGCCAGTCAGTCTGACAGTTGTCTGGAGTTCATGACCATGAAGTTAAACTCAGGCAAGAGTTTAACTTCTTCCTCCCAACTAGGGTTGGAAGAAATCAACCTGGTCCTACTTAAAGTGCTTTTTGTATGTATTCAAAAGATTCTTGATTTGCATTTTCTTTTACCAGTTATCAAAAGGTGGTGCAATTATAGTGCCACTCCTCACCCTCAAATTAACAGGTAATGAAAATTACATATTGTATATTAAATTCAGTACATAGCTGGGTACAGTGGCAGGTACCTGTAGTCCCAGATATTCAGGAGGCTGAAGCAGAAGGATCACCTGAGCTTAGGAGCCTGGACAATGTAGCAAGACCCTTTTTTTCTCTTTAAAAAATATTCACCTGTGGTCAGGAGTTCAAGACTGGCCTAGCCAACACAGTGAAACCCCATCTTCACTAAAAATCAAAAATTAGGCAGGCGTGGTAGCACACACAGGTAATCCCAGCTACTCAGGAGGCTAACGCCAGAGAATCACTTGAACCTGGGAGGCGGAAGTTGCAGTGAGCTGAGATCACGCCACTGCACTCCATCCTGGGCGACAGAGCGTGACTCTGTCTCAAAAAAAAATTAAATATATAAAAAGGTTTAAAGTAAGTAGAGTAATTCCACAGGTAATCTATTTTAAGAAGTAATTGTTTATATACACATTCTGTATACAGTATGCAAAGTTTGGAAGATTCCCTCTTCCTCCTCAAGTTCAAGTATCTTTCTGAGTTAGAAGAATTAAAAGGTCTGAGAACACGGCAATGTAGGCAACGTTGAGGAAGGAGCATTGAGAAAAATTAACTCAGACATATAAAACAAAGTTAATAAATTTGTTGCATTCATACCACCTTATCAGGAGCTGGTAGGTGTCCAGGCTTAAAATATGAAGGAAAGGCAGGAACAGAATCTTGAGGGAGATTTTAGAGATTCCCTGGAGGGAAGTCTTTCACAACCCCAAATGCTGACATTGATGCATACACAGTGAAGAAAGAGCCATCCTTGAGACATGCCTGAGCTCTCAGCCATGTACAAACAGAAGAATCCAGAGAAAAGCCTTAGAGCTTCCCCTTTGCTTGGCTTAAAAACTTCATAAACAGAATCTGTCTCCAGACTGTGAACAGCAATCACCAGAGAGTGAGTTAAATTCCTGGTTCTGGCTGGGCGTGGCGGCTCTCGCCTGTAATCTCAGTACTTTGAGCAGCAGAAGAGAGCGGATCACTCGAGGCCCGGAGTTCAAGATCAGCCTGGCCAACATGGTGAAACCTTGTCTCTACTAAAAATACAAAAAATGGTGTGATCTCAGCTCACTGCAACCTCCTTCTTCTGGGTTCATGTGATTCTCCTGCCTCTACCTCCCAAGTAGGTGAGATTACAGGCACCCTACATCATGCCCAGCTAATTTCCGTAATTTTAGTAGAGACAGGGTTTCACCACGTTGACCAGGCTGGTCTTGAACTCCTGACCTCAAGTGATCCACCTGCCTTGGCCTCCCAAAGTGCTGGGAGTACAGGTCTGAGCCACCACATCTAGCTGCCAGTAAGGTTTTTTTACGCCAAAGAAATCTTATGCTAAAGATGGTATATGTGGGCCAGGAGTGGTAGGTCACACTTGTAATCCTAGCCCTTTGGGAGGCCGAAGAAGGCAGATCTCTTAAGGTCACGAGCTTGAGAACAGCCTGGCCAACATGGTGAAATCCCCTCTCTACCAAAAATAAAAAATTAGCTGGGTGTGATGGTGGGTGCCTGGGGTCCCAGCTACTTGGGAGGCTAAGGGAGGATAATCACTTGAACCTGGGAGGTGGAGGTTGCAGTGAGCCGAGATCCTGTCACTGAATTCCAGCCAGGGTGAAAGAGCAAGACTCTGTCTTAAAAAATAAATAAATAAATAAAAAGGAAGACTGACACCTTATTTCAGAACCCACTGAAAGGGTTAGCAGTGGGTAATGAATTTAAATGGAACTGTTGCCTCTTGTAACAAAAAAACTGGTTTCTCCTGAGTTCGTTGTGATATTAGATGACTCCTATCTCAATGAACAAGAAGTGGGTTGCTTAGACACATTCATTCCAGATTATGCAGGAAGCAGCAACATAAAATGCAATTTTGATTACACTTTGACTATTGTCTGAAAATGTCCGCACTCTAAGACTTAGAGTTCCTTTTCTGTGTGTGGTTTTTTTCCCCTGATGCACAGAGCAAACTGTTCTGGAAATGATGTCATTTTAGTTGTTCTGAAATGAAACTTGCAAAACGTTCTCCTGGAAGGCCTTCAATTCAGCGAAACAGTTGATAAAATCTATTATTCATGAGCAGTTTCTAATTCATGTGTTACAAAACAATGCCATTATTGCTTCTTGGCCTTTTGGCGAAGATCAAGTGTAGTACAAAACAAGGCCATTATATTAATGGAGTCTAAGAGGATTTGCCAGTTTCTACGGTAGAGCCTTCCTGTCTGCATCATTTTCCACACCTGTAACATACACAGTGCTCACTCAGTGAGGAAGCATCTTCAGCATCTGATTTTGTACAGACGTGGTGGGGCAGAGTAGTTGAGAATCCAGTCAGCTACGTGGGCACAAATCCTGATTAGACCATTTTACTGCAATTTAGGCATGTCCTCATGAAAAATGGGCCTGCATTTGGGAATTAAATAACATAGCTTTCTGACTAAAGGTGGCAGATTTCTCCTGATTTCCCTCTTGAGGCCACACTAGCACGATGGAAAATATGTTTTTAGGAAAAGGCAGAGACAATTCACAAGGATACAGAAAACAGAAGACAGCCAGGCGTAGTGGCTCAAGCCTGTAATCCTAGCACTTTGGGAGGCCAAGGTGGGCAGATCATGAGGTCAGGGGATCAGGGCCATCCTGGCCAACATGGTGAAACCCCGTTTCTACTAAAAATACAAAAAAATTAGCGGGGTGTGGTGGTAGGCACCTACAGTCCCAGCTACCCAGGAGGTTGAGGCAGGAGAATCACTTGAACTCAGGAGGCGGAGGCTGCAGTAAGCTGAGATCGTGCCACTGCACACCAGCCTGGTGATAGAGCAAGACTCCATCTCAAAAAAAAAAAAAAAAAAAAAAAGGAAAGAAAATAATAGAAGACAACAGCAACAAATTCTGGAAACCAGTAAGCTGACGACCATGTGGCAATGGATCTGACTTGAGAATCTCAAGCTGAATCCTAAGTGTGGATTGGAGAAGGCTGAACATTCACACAGATAACTCCCCTAAATCTCAAAGGCTGCCAAAAGAAGACCTCTGGAAGTGGGCATGAAGGCGGAAGCAGTGACCCGAGAAACAGCCAAGAGAGTGAAAGTGATTGATGTGGCCACTGGTATATACAGGTCTGATTCCGAGGCAGATTCTCAGGGGCTAAGAATGTCTA